TATAGCAAAATTACCAATTTGGTCCCAAGTTAACGGTTGACTAACGGTCAAACGAACGGAGGACCAAATTGGTTAAGATTTTTAAAGTTGAGGGACTTAATTGGTTAAAAAAATAGTCAAGGACCAAATTGGTAATTTCACTATAGTCAAGGGACCATTTCGGTAATTAACTCTGTATTTAATAATAATAAACAACAGATCGAACTATCAAAATCAAATCAAAATGGAGAGGTAAACTGTATACCCTTTTTGGTGCACAATATCCTATTTAGGTGTGTTGGAAGGATTATTAGTGATTCAACAATCGGGTCCCACACCTCGGTCCGACAAAATAGTGGAGGGATAAAATCACGGTTACTAAGTGGTCAATTAAGTCGGAGGACTAGTATTGTTACTCACAAGGAGCCCACCACATTACGTATAACTCTCATACTACAGTTGTTAAGGCTTGATCATGTGTCTTTATTCAAATCTATCACCCAAGAACTAATTGAACTGTCAATGTGTCAAATTATTAGTTAAGAACTAAATATAAAAATGACACTTAAAAGTAAATTCTCGCTTTTTACTTAATTAGTAGGAAAATTATAACTTATATAGAATATCGTTCCTTTTATTTATTTATTTATTTTTATTTTTATTTTTTTAATGATGCTCCGTGGTCTTTTAAAATAAAGGGAATTATATTTCAACTATTATAGTTTAATCCTTCATCATAAATTATAACCTTTTTGGTTTGCTACTCCATTCCACGCTAAAGACAACAACGTGGTACTGTACGGACGACGTACAAATGAGACATATTAAATGCTAAAATATCAAACATATGGAATCAAGGATGTGGCTTCACACGTACGACTGCAAACTAAAATATCCACAAAATTGAGGGTGTGTTTGGTTCGCACTGAAAAATCGAAATCGAAATTTGTATCGAATACTTAATAATGATAATGCGTTTTAGTGAAAATTATTTTGCATGTTTAGTAGTATGATGGAATGTCAATGATTATCAATAATGTTGTTTGGTTATGTATGATCCTATAATGTGAATAAAGAATTTAAAAACACTAGTACAAAAAAGAGCAAAGAATTTGACTTTAAGCTACCTTTCTTCAAACAAGGGTAGTGTATTGTTAAAAAATAAAAGGACGGTGGTATAATTGTAAATAAGTGCACAAGAAACCGCTACCCTTTTAAACAAAAAGACAGCGTGTGGTAAAAATGGAAAATTTTCCACTACCCTTTCTCGTAGAAAGGGTAGCGGATATTTATATTAATTTTAAATTAATATAATTGTTCGCTTCCCTTTCTACGAGAAAGGGGAGCGAAAAATAAAAATATATAAGCTTTATTTACGCCTTCAGTGTTCAGATCTACAAATTAAGGCATCCAAATCCCAATCCCTTCAAATCTATGAGGTCTCCTCTTCTCATCTCAACCAAATACACCAAACATACATATCTTCTCTTCTCTTCTCTTCAGATCTATCATATCAACCGGCAGGTAGTGCTTTGACGGCAGCCTCACGACGACGCTTGTTGGTGGCGGTAGTGCTTCGACGGCGGCGACTTGTTGGCGACGGTGACGCCGACAACGATTTATCAGCTTGGTCTCACCGGCACCACCACCAACATCCGGAACCGCCACCATCACCTCTTTTTTCTTCAGATCTGGAGATCCTGGAGGCCACCGCTGCTTGGTAGTCGAAGAGCCAAAGCCCTCTGCGCAAGCAAGCAATAGACACAAACAGAAAAAGAAGAAGACTGTTCACCGTGCAAGAAGACTGTTCACAAGGACGCTGGGCGACGGCAAGAGACGAAGCAAAAGAAGAAGACTGTTCACAGTGCAAATTTTTTAAAAATATTTTTTTTTTGCATTTCTTTAATTTTCCTGTACGTGTTCTTATCTTTCTTTTTTTTTTTTTTTTTTGAAAACCTTATCTTCTTTCATTGTTTTGACTTTATTTTGGAATTGCAATTGTTCACAGTGCAATTCCATATTTGGATAGGTTTTGTTTTTTTTTTTTTTTTAATTTTTTTTTTAATTTTAATTTTATTTAGTGTGTACTATTATTTTCATTTAATTAATGTGGTTTGTTGATTATATTGTGTTGATTTGTAGTGTATGACATTTATATATGAATAAAATTAAAATAATTGGAGATTTAAAAGTAATAAATGATTATTTAAAAAAAAAAAAACAATCCGCATTAAAAATAATAATAAATTATGGTATCCGCTACCCTTCTGTTATAGGGTAGCGGAATGCTCAGGGCTTTCAGAGACCCTAAAATCCGCTACCCTTGTACAAGGGTAGCGGATAGTCATTTACAAGGGTAGCAGATGTGCAAATCTGTACTAGTGAAATATAAGAACACAAAATCAAGACAATTGATTCTAATATAATGACATCTAAAACACTAATATGAACAAAAAAAAAAAAAAATCTAAAAGCACTAATCAAAGAGGATGAGAATGAATAAGGGAATGAAAGGAGATGATACCCTTATTTTAGTTGGGTATGAGTTTTCAATTAAAGGGGTATTTGAAACTCATATTAGTGTTCTAAAAACCTAACAATTCAACCAAATAATACCAATCACTTTGATAATCATTCCTTAGAGCTAAACCTGTCAACCAAACACACTCTTAGTATTGTTTTAAAAAACTAATTCTACATGTAGTCACACTCATTTGATACTCTCTCTCTCTCTCTCTCTCTCTCTCTCTCTCTCTCTTTATATATATATATATATATATATATATATATATATATATATATATATATATATATATATATATATATATATATATATATATATATATATTGTTTAAAGTCGACGCTGTTGGAGTTACATGACTGAGATTATCAAACTGACAAGGCTAAAAATTCGTTTAAAAAAAAAAACACAGTGACATTTTCAGAATTTTTACAAACTTTTGTTATGCAAAGTGACAATTTTAAGACTGCAACCACTAATAACTAAGAATGCACTTAAAATTTTAAAAGAGTGTACTCATATATTACAATGCAACAAATTAACATGATTGCACAATTTGTTATGCCTTTAATTTTTCATTATATGCATATACACATATGAAAACTTCGTTTCTCGTAAAAAAAATGTGGAATTAATGATTTCGCTCATTCATCTGGAGTAATCAACAATACATTTGGAAAATAAGTAAAAATTAAAAGAAAAATGTGGTTGCATTATATATCACGAGATTATATATATATATATATATATATATATATATATATATATATATATATATATATATATATATATATATTTATTTATTGTGGGCAGATACCTTTGTTATATATATAAGCATAGTAGTATTTAACAAAGGTACATTTGAACGGGAAAATTATTATCATCCAATAGAGACTATTACAAAAAAGTTCACTTCTTTATTCACATAGAGGTACGTTAAAAAATAAAATATAAAGTTTGATTCAAATAAGTGTGGAATAAAGTTTTTATTTATTTTTACTTTTTACTGTCTTGATATATTCTCCACTTATCTGAACTTCTAACAAAGAATTTTAGATTATAATAATCTGCTTGCTTTAGTATATATCTTTGACCAGAAATACCAATAATACAAAGAATATATTAAAAAGCTCAAATACTTTTTAGTGAAACATACGTGGCAACTAAGTAAGTTGTGAATATTAAAATAGATGGAAGAAAAAACAAAATGGTAATTAGATATATCAACCTAGCTAGTTAGTTCACTTGGTTTCAGCCTTCTGGTCCATTTTGTCTGCACGAGTTTAGCTCACTGATTCAGTAGACAGTATTTGAGAGAAAAGATCAATGTTCGAATCTCGGCAGCAGTGACAGTGTGGGATTATGTCCAAAATGAACAGATTCCTTGTGCGCCCGGGTAATTTAAATCCTCTCAAATGCTCTGTTGAGCCCGGACGTGAGAGGCCCTTGAAGTTACAAATTCAACCTTTTGGAAAAGAAATTATTGCATTTAATAGTTTCGAGTTAATTGAGTTAAAAAAAATTAATTTAACTATAAAATTTCAGGCCATTAGGCTTATCACCCCAACTTAATTACAAATTTTAACATTTAAAAACTAACGTTAACTTCTAAACTTTTAATTTTAACAAATTAGTACATACAATTACATTTTTGTTTCTAGTACCACTAACTCTGTTATAGTACAGTATTTATTTATAACTACTTTCTCAAGTTATTGAAGCACAAAAAGTCAATATTGTCTCGACTGAGACTCAAACTCACTTTAACTTCGTGTCACTAGACCACAAGGTCATGGACAGTACATAAATTTACATTAATAAACATAAAATTAAAATATCTAATCAATCCAAATCTATAAGGCAAACACATATAATAACTTTTTTTATATTAATAATTTTTTTTTTTTTTTTTGAAAAATGCAAATTATTGTAATTTTTACACAAAAGTAATTAAAAATAATGTTGTGAATGTTCTAGAAATTCTTGCCATGTCAGCAACAAGATGCCACATAGATCGACAATCTCACACGTGTGGTGCTATTATGGCAATCATTATTATATGGACCATGGTTCACACAAGTTGTGTGAACTATATTTTGTCTACTGTCAAATAATGTACATTCAGTACAAAAATAATGTACATTGTATTCAGGGGATATACATTATTTTTGTTCTGAATGTACATTATATTGTATAATGTACATTCAGTACAAAAATAATGTACATTTAATATATTAAAAATGTATTTTTTGTTATAATCCACATAACATTGTGTGAACCATAATTTGCCCTATTATAATATGTGAGAGGGATGATTGGTCCAGCGACAACCTTGGGTTGACTTCAGGTATGCCGTATGTGGACTCTTTTTCTATCTAATTTAATTAATTGCAGTTTAAACTACAAAACAAACTTAATTATTATATTCTTTCCACTCAAAACAGACCACCTTGTATATATATATACACTGCCCTTCGTCCCCAACCTCGTCTCTCTCAAAAACCTGTCAATTTACTGTTCTTACAAATTCTATGTCTCTTTTAATTTACTTAATTAGCTTCTAAATCTCCCCTCCTTAGCAGCCTGTAGTCCATTTATTGCATGGAGTTTTCTCCCCCGTTGGTTCCAAATATGAAGTTGATTAAGGTAACAATACGATGATGTTTTTTTCTTGTTTGTTTGTTTGTTTTTTTTTTTTTTTTTTTTTTTTTAAATGTTTGTGAACATTATGAATTGAATGAATACGAACTGGAGAGTCTTGAGCCTTTCAAGTTTATTTTGTTTTTGTTATATATATATGATATATGATATTTCTACACGTTTTGATTGACATACTTGTGGATATCGTTGAAAGAATGAAACACATGTTTTTTTATCTCCATAATTTTCTGCGGGGTTTTTCCATTTCCGTCTTTTTCTCGCCCATGTTTATTGGACAATGTCTTAAATAATATGGTTAACAATTGATTAAGATCTTGAATATATATATATATAATGCCATAATATAACTAACGTACTTGTATCCTCCTCCTCTTTGTTCCTATATATACCCTTCTCTTTTCAAACAATATTCAATCTCCATCCTTCATCTTCTTCTTCATCATCATCTTCAGTATCATCATCATCATATCATATGACTAAGCTGCTAGCTGATCGATCCTCAAATCTTTTCCTAATCTTGGTATTACTTCCTTGCTTTGCCTCAATCTAATTTAGGTTAACTAATTACCTGGTATAATCATGTTCATATATCTATTATGATGTTTTTCATTGTAATATCCTATGTATTGTCATGCATGTTTAAATAAAAAAGATTATAGGAATATGGTCAATTTAAGCACGTCGCAAAACAATCATGATGATGATCATTTCTTAGGAGAGATTCTTTGGGAGGTTTAATTTGCTCACGAACCTATCGTTTTCTTGAGAGGGAACGTAACTTTGGATTGATTCATTAACATTTTGAAGGTTGTTTTCTTGTTGGATTACAATGGAATATTTAGCTTTTGGCCTGGTGATGATCTTTTCGTGGATGCATATATTTTGATTCCTTGATTCATTTCTTAGGCTGGCAGGGGTGGTGCTTTAACAAGGACACCCAAGTTGATGGGCTTGCAGCTAGTAGCTAGAGCTATATAATAGGCCACACAAACACATCACATGTTTTTGTTTATGGGAGTATTTTTTTTTTTTTTTAATTGCTCCAAAAGTTCTTATTTCATCTTCAAATCTTGATTACCTTGGTACTTAGGCCCGGGCCTGGACAAGGACAGGCTGGGCCCAACGCTTAGAAGGGGTCCACCACTCTATCCCATAGTTATGTTTTTTCTTAATTGCTCCAAAAGTTCTTATTTCATCTTCATCAAATCTTGATTCCCTTGGTACTTAGGCCCGGGCCTGGGCAAGGGCAAGCTGGGCCCAACGCTTGGAAGGGGCCACCACCCTATCTCATTACCTTTTATATATACTAGGAATAAGGGTCAAATAGGCCATCGAACCGCACACGATAATGCAATTAGGCCACTGAACCTAAAAAACCATCAATTAGGTCCCTAAACTAACCAATTTCAAACAATTCTTCCAATTTATAGGTTTCCAACAAGTTAACAGGTCATCCTCCCAAATTAATTATTTTTTAAAAAATAAAATTTAAAAATTAATTATTTAAATAATTAAAAAAACAGAATTCAGCCGATCTGTTTTTTTTTTTTTAATTAATAATTAATTTTTAAATTTTATTTTTAAAAAAATAATTAATTTTTAAATTTTATTTTTAAAAAAATAATTAATTTGGAGGATAACCTGTTGACTTGTTGGAAACCTTCCAATTGGAAGAATTGTTAGGAATTGATAAGTTTAGGGACTCAATTGTTGGTTTTTTGGATTTAGTGGCCTAATTGTATTATCATGTGCAGTTCGATGGCCTATTTGACCCTTATTCCTATATACTATAGATGTTTTGTATTATAATTTAGTATAAATTATTAAATTTATGTTACCGAACTAAAAGTTAGCCGAGTGAGTAGGATTTGTGGTTTCTATTCTCAAGGATTTACATTAAATTTTTCCTCCCAGAGTAGATGAATTTAGGGATATTATTATATATTATTAAAATTGTAAGTTATGAAATTTATTTATATTTCTAATTTGTATTTTTTTTTTTAAATTCAATTTGTAACTTTGTGATTTTTTTACCTTTCTATAATTATAGTGAAATTTATAATATAGATTGATTTATGATTCATATCAAACTTTGAATCTATTTCTATTCAAGGAATTTACTACTTATATTTAAAATATGTGTTATTTTGTGAACTTTATAATGAGTTATGTATATGTAATATATTTTGTGCTTTAGTTATGAAAAATATTTTAAAAGATAGTTTAATATTTAGAAGTTATATTGTGTGTCATCGTATTTAAATTAATCTAAAAAAAATTAAAATTGATCTAACTAAAAGAAAAAGTATTTGTAAATATGATATCAATATAGAAGATATGTGACTTATTATTTATTTTTTTATTCAAACTATTTTATCGTGATTAATTATGTTTTATATTTATTATGAATATCTTTTATCACGTTTGGAGTATTTTGATAGATTGCTCCTAATAATTAAGATTTTATGGTATGCTCTTGTAAGTTTTGTTTTATAAATTTTTATTAAAAATTACTTTATAATTTATTATAATAATAATGTGATTCTCTATAAGCTCATTTAGTTTTAAATTATTTATTCATTTTTATAAACTATAATTCTTCTCCCATGAAAGCACTGATGCGGTTATTGATAATTTTAGATTTAGGAATGCAAGAATGCATTTAGAATTGTGTATAATTGTTAAAAACTTGGGAATTTTATTCGACATTAGTATTTTTCTCTTATTTAATTTAAATATTAGCTATAAATAAATATATATATATATATATATATATATATATATATATATATATATATATATATATATATATATATATATTAATTTAATATAAGGCACATTTTTGTTGTTACGCCTAGGCCTATAAAATGATAGGACCCGACCTATTGCTACTTTGATTGTTTTAATTTGTTCGTGTTATTTTTATTTTTTTTTACATTTTTTTCTTGTTTTTTTTTTGAATAAAATAAAATGTAATATTTATACGGAAAGATCTAATTCAATATTAATATAATTATTGAGTCCTTTTTTGAGTATTATTATTGAGTCTTTTTTTTTTTTTTTTTGAAAATATTATTGAGTTGTTTTTATGTTTTCTATATTACACTTATGACATAATAAGTATCATAAATTAATTATACAAATCAGATTGAACGAACAATTCGGAAGTTGTATTTGATCGGAAAGTTAATGTATTTGTCTTTTTATGTTATTGTAGGATGAGATTACAAGCCCGTTGAGTGCACAAGTATTGGAGTTTAGCGAGTCAGAATTATTCCCAGAGACAATACAGAATTCCGAGGTGGGTTCGAGTTCGAATTGCGGTTACGAGGAGAATTCCTCGTACTCCACAAATCTGCCGCTCACGCCAGACATGAATACGTTTAACGGCGGCGACGACAGGAAGGACGACGTCGCCGCCGCCGTTAATCAAGCGTCAAATCCCGCCGCCGACAATAATAATAATAATAATAACAATAATAATAATAATCATCTGTCCATCATTTTCGACGGGCAAGAAGACATAGACAACGACCTCTCGGCGTCCATCGACTTCTCGCTGCCGCCGCAGTTCCTCCACCACCCCAACCAGCTTGATCAATTCGACATCTCGTCATTGGACGGCCACCAGATCCCCGTCGCCGACGTCGGCCGCAGCGGCGGCGGCGGAGGAGGAGGAGACGGTTCCCTCGCCGCCGCGGCGTACCCTTCGGACCAGCAAATGGTGCAGCTCATGGGGCCGCCGCCGCCGTCGTCGCAGCAGATCGTGTACGATGACGAATGCCTCTCGTCGGTCCCGTCTTACTTGCGCCTCACGTCTTCGTCGCCGTCTTGTTCGCTTCTCGATCCCACTCTCGGAAGTTACCTCAACCCCGCCTTGTCCGCAGACAATTCCGGCGTCTTCACCGGCGCCGGCTTTTTTCTCGGCGCGGATTTGCCGCCTCAAGACCTGGAGTTTCAAGGCGATAACACTAGACTTTTCTGCCCTGATAACATTCCACGTGTTTACAACTGCGCCAGTGACCAGTTTCAGGTATTTAACCACAACTAACTGTCAAAAGTTTGTTACTTAAATTTTGGTCAAAATATAAATTAGAATAAAATACTATTTAACCCAAATTTAATACAACCTAATATTTTTTTTTTTAAAATACCACTCTCCCTTACTAAAACCTTGAATTAATTAATAAAAAAAATTAAATTAAATTACTTCCCACATAAACCATAAATTTTATACATTTGTTTATATTATTTTTTGGTTTGTGAAGACATTAAGCAGTGAGAGTCAGCATTTGGTTAGTGGAGCTGGGAGTTCAACACCATTGGCATCAGACATCACATGCTTGGAAGATACCACCTTCAAGGTAGGCAAGCTTTCTGTTGAAGAAAGGAAGGAGAAGATCCACAGATACTTGAAGAAGAGAAATGAGAGAAATTTCAGCAAGAAAATCAAGGTACATACAATATTGCTTTTATATATATATATATATCAATTAAACTCTTAATTAATTTACTACAATCTCATCTGTCCTGTAAATAGTGCCCACAATTGAACTCTTTAATTTGCTGCAATTTCGTTGGATGCAATCATGTCTGACGGGTAAATGGTGCAATTGAATTCTTTAATTTACTGTAATATAATCTCGTCTGTCCTGTAAATAGTGTAATTAAACTCTGAATTCTTTAATTTACTGAAATATAATCCTGTATGACCTGTAAATAGTGTAATTAAAATCTTAACATATTACTGTAATCCTGTATAACGTGTAAATAGTGCAATTGAACTCCTAACTTATTGCAAATGTACAGTATGCATGCAGAAAAACACTGGCGGATAGCAGGCCGAGGGTGAGGGGGAGATTTGCAAAGAATGATGATTTCGGGGACGTGACAGTAGCCAGGGCAGCCATGGGCAACCATGAAGATGACACGGCCATGGACGAAGCCGCCAGGCATAATTTCCTCTACGACCCTAACAATTACCCACCTGCCGCCGCCGCCGCTGCAGCTCTCTCCCACGGCGGCCGGATTTTCAACTCGAATTGCCTCGCCGCGCCGCCCGGCACCGGCCCCTACGACATGTGCACCACCTTGTTCTGCGCCGACGCCAACATGCACTGATCTTATGATACGATGACCGATCAGATCATCCCGGCCGAGAGGTGGTAGATACAGCTAGCTAACAATGCTGATATATCCTCGTATCGGACATGTTTAAGTGACGTGAATTTCTCCGAAAGAAAGACATCATCGTCACTACCTCCAATCCTGGATATATATGAAGTATGAACAATATATATATATATATATATACTTTCGGTTTTATTAGCTTTTCTGCCACAGTTTTGCACGTACGCATTACATACCATCCTGTTGTTGTGATAGGGAAAAATGAATAATGTCTCGTAGACTTACATATAGTATATATGAAGAGCACAGTGTAAATGTTGTAACGAAGAACGTAGTTGTCAGAAACGTGGTCATGATGGATCATATATCGTTTATGTACTCTTTTATTTGAAATGGTGAGTATACCATATATTCTATTATACAATCAAACAGCTAACAAATAAAGTCTTTGTTACAGTAATTTATGTGCTTCATTGTATGTTATTCTCTATATATGTAGTACGAAGTAAATGTTTTGAATGTCAAAGTATGATCGATCATGCACTATAGGGTTAATTTTGTATAATTAATTATTAATTAAGAGCAGTTATAAATCAGTTAAGTCATTAATATATATATATATATATATATATATATATATATATATATATATATTGGATCAAATGAGAACAATTCATTAGCAGATAAATAAGGACCAATCTCAACCTTACATCTGGAAAAATTGGACTAATCAGATAAAAAAAATTAAAAAATTGCGGTGACATTTTCGTAATTCACCAACTTTACTATGCAAACTTGAACACTAAAATCTGTAATCCTCATACCTTTCCAGCTTTGCACATTTAGTATTACCATTTTGCACATTTAGTATAAACATTTGTATATTTAGTTTTAAAATATTGCACTTGCAAAAATTAGAGTTTATGAATGAGTTTTTTGTTTTATTTTTAGTGTTCACTTTTTACTGTTTAAGATCTAGCATTTACTGTTTATATTAGTTTTTCATTCGTTTTAGGGAAAATGACACTTTTTTCCACGTGTTATATATTTATAGGATGAGAGTGGGAAAGATCAAATCATTCAATAACAGTATCCAGATATAATAATACTATCAGAAGGAGTCCCTGTACATTATAGCACTTTTTCCTCCTGAATTATTTAAGAGACAGTTTTTTTCCCTGATATGTTAAATGGACATATTTACCCTTAAATAAATATTTTATTTATTTTTCTTCTCTAACAAATTGTAACCACGATTTGGTTCAAATCGAACAGACATTATAACAACCAAATAGAAAGGTTATTATGACAATTTAGAACCGAAACTCGATATTCAGAATTTATTAAAATTGCGAACTGAAACTGCACGTTAATGTTCTGAATTGAAAAAATAGAATACATTAATTGTTGAATTTAGAATATTTTAAAAATAAACAAATAAAATTTTAAAAGAAAGTTTGAACCAGCAGTTCAAATTGGATCCGAAACCGTGAACTGACGGTTCAAAATCAAAACCAAATCGCGGCTATATATATATATTTATATGTGAGAATCAAAATAAATGCGAAAAAGAACATACACTATTTGTAATATTATAATTCTAATTTTAAGCAAATGCTTGTAGTTGTTCTGATTTGAACCTCTGGTTCACGATTTAGGATCCATTTTTTTTTCAGTTCACGATTTTAATAAACGAAAATCCAAATATTGGGTTTTGGTTCTGAATCATAATCGAAAAATTTTGATTTGATTGCTACTTATAATAATTGAGTTGGCAAATGTGGATGCATGAATAACTCAGGGGAAAAAAGTTCTATAAGCATATAACTCAATGGGAAAAAGTGTCATCTTCCCTTCATTTTATAATTTTCTTTCAGTTTATAAAATTTACCAGATTTGCATATTTTTGGGGGATGGAAGGGGCAGAAAACCCCGAACCAAGCAGAGACTGGCATTACATAAACTTGCAAAACACAGACGACCCTCTATCAGATTCAAGGAAATCAAACACGTATTCAAGAGGCATGACGAACTCAATCCAGTCACAACGGCGTTCAACCGCTTCCCTAGCCAAAGCATCAACCACCATGTTTGCATATTTAGTTGTTAAAGACTGCATATTCAAGTGTTCAAGTTTGCATAGTAAAGTTTATGATAATTACATAAATATCACTGTATTTTTTTAAAATCTGATCAGATCCGTTGAATTTTTATAAATGTAAAATTGATATTGATTATTATTTCTCTCTTATGGTACTGTTCTCATAGGATATTATCATGCCAACTCAGAACCAAAAGTGTTTTTAATCTACTTTATAAAATTATTATAGAACCAAAAGTGAATTTAACTTGTTTCAAACATGTATGACACAATTATAATGGTTTTATGGATTACATTTTATGAATCTTGTGTTATGTTGTATAATTTATATATGTTTTGGTATGTTGGGAAAAGTCTCTACTCTCGACCTGCAATTCTTTATCCAAAACACTTTTGGCCCTTAAAATTGAGTGGTAACAGACTAATAGATAGATATATAAAAGGATTTATTATTGGAATAGGCCCATTTGTGTATGAGAATGAAATATTCAAACGGAAATACTTAAAGAATTTGTGAATAAAAATAATATCATTATTTCTTTACCAACCGATGTATAATGCATGATAACTCTTAAACAACTTTTTTTAAAATATTGACATATTGTACTCTTTTTTTTAAACAAAATATAATTATAAGTTACTAGATGCGTCAATAAAGAGAGACAAACTCAACCCCTCGAGGGTTTTTCAGAATTTTAAAAATTAACTTATATATTTATAGCCATGCAGTTTCCACAAAAGTACGTCTCTCTATGAATGTGTTTGATAAAGCATGTTTAATCTTAACTCAAGAACTCTCGAATAGATTTAAGCAAGTGATAGTGTAGATCTTGAATGTTTGTAATGAATTTTACTTTATTAATAATCAACATAAATTTAAATAATCATACTCGAAGATAATAAGTGAAACTTAGCTTTTTAATCTCCAACCCTGAAAGTAAAGTCACATGATCCGTCGGCCCAAACAATTTTATTTAGTTTTTGCAGAGTTGATTAGGAGAAAAAACATGGGAGAGATAAGGGAAAGAAGGAAAAAAAAAGTAATAGAACTAATGTGCCCAGCAGGCACGTGCAATGCATAAACTTGCAAAACACAGATGACCCTCTATCGGATTCAAGGAAATCAAACACGAATTCAGGAGGCATGACGAACTCAATCCAGTCACAACGGCGTTCAACCGCTTCCCTAGCCAAATTAAAGCATCAGCCACCATGTTTTACATTTAGTTGTTAAAGACTGCATATTCAAGTGTTCAAGTTTGCATAGTGAAGTTTATGATAATTACATAAATATCACTGCATTTTTAAAAAAAAATCTGATCAGATCCATTGAATTTTTATAAATGCAAGATTGAGATTGATTTTTATTTCTCTCTTATGGTACTTTTCTTATAGTATCATTATCATGCCAACTCAGAATCAAAAGTGTTTTTAGTCTACTTTATGAAATTATTATAGAACCAAAAGTGAATTTAACTTGTTTCAAACATGTATGACACAATTATAATGGTTTTATGGATTACATTTTATCAATCTTGTGTTATGTTTTATAATTTATATCAATCGTCACGGCGCACATAACACTGTGCGTCCCGCGCCTCCCAAAACGACGTCGTTTTGGGAGACGTGGTAGGGAGTTGACGTGATTATGTGTGTTTGTTTATACAATTATGTGTATTTATTTATATAATTATGTGTATTTTTTATACAGTTATGTATATTTGTTTATACAATTATATGAAACGACGTCGTTTTGCCAATTTATATATGTTTTGGTATGTTGGGAAAAGTCTCGACTCTCCCACCTTCAATTCTTTATCCAAAACAGTTTTGGGCTTAAAATTGAGTGGTAACAGACTAATAGATAGATATATAGAAGGATTTATTATTGGAATAGGCCCATTTGTGTATGAGAATGAAATATTCAAACGGAAATACTTAAAGAATTTGTGAATAAAAATAATCTCATTATTTCTTTACCAACCGATGTATAATGCATTATAACTCTTAAACAACTTTTTTACATTTAAAATATTAATACATAAAATAAAATTATAAATAACTAGATGTGTTAATAAAGAGACAAACTCCCTCTCGAGGATTTTTCAAAATTTTAAAAATTAACTTATATAGTTATAGTCATGCAGTTTGCACAAAAGTACGTCTCTCTATGAATGTGTTTGATAAAGCATGTTTAATCTAAACTCAAGAACTCTCTAATAGATTTAAGCAAGTGATAGTGTAGATCTTGAATGCTTGTAATGAATTTTACTTTATTAATAGTCAACAGAAATTTAAATAATCATTCTCGAAGATAATAAGTGAAACTTAGCTTTTTAATCTCCAACTCGGCCCAAACAATTTTATTTGTTTTTTTGCAAAGTTGATTAGGAAAAAGAACATAAGAGAGAAGGGAAAGGAGGAAAAAAAAAAAGTAACAGAACTAACGCGCCCGGCAGGCACGTGCAATGCATGCGCCTACTGGACGCGCATCAGTTGTGCGTAACGCACAATTGATGAGAACATCATTGTTTTTTGTGGGACAGTGAGTCCCACAAAAATCAAGTCTTGCTGAAGGATCTTAACATTCTCTCTCAAAGCTTCTCTTTCTTGCATGTGAATGTAAAAGCTGCAAAAACCATTCAAAATCTCCCTATTGAGGATACTCTTAGAAGCCGCGATTCCTAATATAATTGTCCAAACGTATTACCATCACCATTTGTTAGAAGGATGACTGAATCGTTGGACTTATCTCATCAAACGAGAATCCCACACTTTCCAACCGAAACCGGCCTCCATGTGCACTCGTTGAATATTCCAAACAAATTTTGTGTGGATTAAAACAAAGTCCAAAAAGTGGGGCCTGCCTAAAAAATTTAAAGAAAGTAAACACCCAAAAGCATGCTCCGTAAAACATGGCATCATTAATTTTGAGTAATTAATAATGTAATTTAGTAGTAATGGGTAATCAAGCGTATAATCCGGGATGAGATTAGAGTATGTACTATATATGTAGATTAATTATTGGTCTAATCATTTGACAAAATCAATGTTGGAACTTACTTACCGCATGTATACAGTTGAAGGTTGGTTGGTTTTTGGACTTTCTGTTCTGCATTTCTGCGGTTGAATTCTTCATTGATGAAACGCGTAGCGTTTTGGATACTTTCGGTCCCACTTTACATAGATTTTGAGGTGCCGAGGATGACGGTTTCTTCGACCTGCACATGACTTCCCTATTTATATGGTCTACTAGTCTCATTTACAAATGTAGTCGGTATACTAACTAAATTAATTTATGAAAACAAAATCTT